CCGGACCCCCTCACCCCCTTGGCCCCCACCTACCCATCAGGCGGACATCTCACTCACCCCGCGAATATTCCAGTAACCTAGTATCATGGGCATGGTGCTGGTTCCCGGGGTTGAGCAGACAGGCCTCAGCAGCTCAGAAGTGCCACTTTTATCAGGCTGAGCAAGGAAGGCAGGGGCGGGGCCTAGTGGTGGGTTCTGCCCCGCCCCTTTAGTCTTCCCCTCCTCCCCTGCCCACAAGAGCCTCTACCCCTGGGAGATGCCTGTTTCCAGAAACCAGGGGAGGACGAGCCATTGCTTGGAGCCAGTACCAGAGAGAGGTCTGGAAGATCAGAAGCAAAAGCGGGTCTTCCACTCCTTGTTCCTCAGATCTGTCCAAGGGTCCTTGAACCTGCCTGCCTCTGCTGGGTCCCCTGGGGATTACAGGTACACTTGGACACCTGCCAGACAGTGGATAAACAAATCTACCCACCCCTTCCCCTTCACACAAGCTCGCAGAGTGGGCCTGGGAGGTTCAAGACTCCTGGGTCACATCAAAAAGGGGTGTCCCCACGTGAGATTTTAATTCAGCAGCCATCACCAGAAGAAGGCGACACTTGCAAATTAGAATGTTCTTTGTTGTCATACTAAGCATGAGGACTCCCTGTAGAAGAACAGGGTCACTGAAATGGGAATGGGCCCAGGACAAGGGGCAGACATAGACCGTATGGTTTCCATGTTTTCTTTAGGGTATTAGGAGGAACTGGACATTTCAGTTATCTGGCTAAAAATTATACAAGGTAGCTGATTGACATTTTACCCTATTTGTGAATCTAAGTGCAAGAACCAGACAGAATGGGAGGCAAGGTGTGAAAGGAACCCCTCTACATTCTACCAACACTGCAATGTGCTGCCAGTCGGCTAGACACTGTCCTGCTGACCAGCTCAGGGGCTGTGAGTGCCGTGGGCACAGCTGGAGTGTGAGCTAGGGTGAAGCCCAGGGCTCCAAGGGATCAGACACCTCTCCTACTTCCAAGACAAGACAAAAGAGTGTCCAGAGGGGACCCTGAGGACTCCACACAGTGCCACAGCCAAACCTCTAGCTGTCAAAGTGCCTGGATTCTGTCCTGGCCCCAATTTCTGACCCATACTTGGCCTTGGCATGAGATGGGAACTCAGATGTCATATGAAATCACTGTGTCAATGAGAACCTGTATTACAAGCTCCACAAGGACAACTTATCAGTAACACAATCTTATTTGTCAACTTTCTTCCTTTAAGGCACAGATTTGTTTCACAGTGAAGAGATATAAAACACTGGCCCATGTTTGTTTGGGGTTTTCTAGAGGAGCCGATGTGGTAGAACATACACAGAATAGATTTATTAGACTGATTTACAGGATAATAGGCTGGATAGTGCACAGTGACTGTCTGAATGCTGGAGAGTCAGAGGACCCAGCAGCTGCTTAGTCCAAGAAGCTGGAAGCTTCAGAACAACAGAGACCCCGGATGCAGCCCAAGTCCAAGGCTAAAGGCCTGGAAACTCCTTGGAGAGTCTCTCATGTGAGTCCAAGTTAAAAGGCTGAAGAAGATGGAATCCAAGTTGACTGGCCATTGCAACATCAAAGACACACAGTTCAGCAGAATCAAGAGAGCCAATGGAGGCTGACATCCCCTGTCTTCCTTTTCCATTCCACCCACACTGCAAGCCTACTGAGTGGTGCCACCTGCAATCCTGACACGTCTTCTCCCCTCCATTTGCTGGCCTCTGTGCCAATCATCTCTGCAAACATCCGCACAGACACGCCCAGAAGCGTGCTTTACCAATCTCTTATGTATCTCTCAGTCCAATCAAGTTGGCAATCACTATTAACCATCACAGTTCACCCGTGTCAACTTGACACCCAATTACATTTCTTTAACCCACACTTCATGTCCATTTAAAGGCAGTAGTGCAATCAGAACTCCACCTAACATGACGCAAGGACTCCCGAAGACAACCAGACATGCACTAGAGTAAGTCCCGACTTAGGAACATTTCAGATTTGAACTTTTACCAGTGACTCCCTCTTTTGGCTTAGAGACAAATGGGACTTATGAAAAATTCTCCTGCAAGGGAATTTATTCTGAATGAGGGACTTACAATAATTCTCTTCACAATATAGGTGGCAAAGTTTAAGTATGTTTGGGGTTATGTTTACTATTCTGACTACCGTAATTTAAATACTACAGTGTATACTAGCAATACTTACATACTGATGTTAAATCAACCAGTGTTCTAGAAATACAAGATAGAGGAGTACAGGAAACAAAACAAAGATAGCTGGGCAATTCCTGTATATATGAAAAACATATGCTTACTAAAATGCGATAGAAATACTCATGACCATTAATATCCTGGCTCTGGTAACTTGTCTTATGGTTTATACAGTATATACACAAGGTGTGATCAAATATGTAATGAGTGCTCAGAGATTTTTAAATGCTTTACCCTATGCCAACACAAAAGAGTCACCTTTGCTTCAGACATACTTATCCCATCACTCTTGCCACTTTCTGAAGCAGTTCTAGAAGTTTGCTTTCAGGTCTTGTGGTGCTGTCTTGGCTGCCTTGATGTCCTTAACAGATTCAAAATATTTACTTATCATATTCATTTTACATTTAGAGAAGAGCCAGAATACACATGGTGCCAGATCTGGTGAATAAGATGAACAAAGACAGGGCTTAATGTCTTTGCACGTCGCCCTTCTGGTTGGATGACACCTGGCAGCAAAATTTACCGGATGATTTTCCACACCTCATAAAGATACAAAAGAAGAATTGTAAAACCACCTGAAAAAGGGACAAGAATGATGATTTAAGTATGTTTGAGTGAGGGGAATGATTCAAGAGGGATTGATGGCAACATGTCTTTTACTGTGATAAATTTCTTTTATTTAAGCATTTAATGTATACTTTGATTATCCTCTTTAATTACTTTCTGCTACCAATTTTATATACCCGTGCCCTTCAAGAAGCGCTTCAGCCTGTCTTGATTCTTTGTTTTGGGAATAACTCATGCCTTCATTCCTGAGCACTGGGTCACTTTCCATCCTGCCTCCTTAGATTGTTGGAGTTACCAACTGATCTTAACAAGAGTATGTGGTAATACAATGAGATATCCTAAGCAATCTCCTACAGCTCAGTCATACTCTTGTTTACCTCTGTAGTTGAGGAGTAATCCAGTTTCCCCTCAGTAAATTGAATCAAATCTGGATCATTCACCCCACTACCACCACAAACATCATATCTCCCTTCTTAGCCTGTGGACTCAGAGGTATGAAGAACCAGAACTATTAGTGAGGACTCCTTCCCTGTAATGGAATTTTTGTTGTACAGCCTGCTAAACCACACATCCTCCAATCTCTGTGGCACTAAGACTTCTAGGCTAGCAGGGCATATATCTGTAGGAACAGGAAGCAAAAATTTTGCTGGTGGGTTCCCATGAGTTTGTCAGGGATATGAGACAAAATGTGCCGTGTATTGGATGCTGACTCAGAGTACATAGACTTCTGAACACTGCAAGGTATTGTCAGCTACCTCGCACTATAACTCATCATCAAAAGGGCACTCCAACATCTTTCAAACCAGCCACTTGAGGATGTTAGGGAAATGGTAAGAATGTTGCTTCACTTCTTTGGCTGTGGAGCAAGTTTCTTGGTCAAAAGTAATGCTGTGTGAAATATCACGGTAATCTGAAAGACATTCTATATGTCAAAAAAAGGTAGTTTTGACAGAAACATTACATGGATGGAAGGCAAATGTATACCTAGAATAAATATCTATTCCAATAAAGACAAAGTGCTGCCCTTCACTGGTGAAAGTGGTCCAGTATAATCAATCAGGAACTGGATCACTGGCTGATGACACTATGAATACAGGGTGGGCAACCTAATGAGGCAGAGACCACTTCACAGCATTATGTGGATCCAGTGAGGCACATGGTTTAAAACCTTGGTGCAGGCAGAGAGTAATAAGTCCTCGAAGTGTCCAGTATAAATTTTCAGTGTTCTCCAGATGTCTCCAGTTGTCCAGGGATCTGCAAAATTCCTTGTTCTCTATTGTCTTCTTTAGCACATCCTGTGCTTGACTATGATAGCTGTGGTGATGAGGTGAGTTCCCTCCTCACATTAGTG